CAATACTTACTTGGGAATAAAATCCATTGAAGTGAAATAGAATTAACATGTGAGTAGGTAGACATAAAATTATGCCATATAATTCCCCATTTTGTATTTACAAATATGGAAGAGTTAAGTTTAGATACACAAGATTTCTGGATTTTTTTCTTACTTTTTGGGGGCAAAATATGCATTTAAATTTGCATCATTTTAAAAAAATCCTTTCTATAAAAAAAGGACAATAAGTGTTTTTAGTTACATTATCAGAGAAAATAGTTCATAATGTTGATTGCTGTCAGTACAGCATCTTTGAAATGAATTATGAGCAATCTTCCATTGATATGACTTATTCTAGGTGGCCATGCTCTATATACAGGTAGTCCTCATTTAGTGACCACAATTGGGGCTGGCAGTTCAGTTGTTAAGCAAAGCAGTCACTAAGTGAAACATCACGATTTTGCTATCTTCAACTTTATTTTGCTTTACAGACCTGCAAAGGTCATAAATGTGAGGACTGCTCACAAAATTACTTTTTCATCACCATCGTAACTGTGAATGGTCACTAAACAAGGCAGTCACTAAATAAGGACTACCTATACAAAATGTTTATATACTTTATAGGAATCAGTAAACAATTTAAACTAATACAACTGTAAAATGTTTGCTGATACCAAAGAAAATTGGAAATATGACAAAGAATATAGTTCTGGAGGTTTGTTTTGTTTTGTTAGAATAAAATCAGTAAAATAATATATTCTGGCAGCACTGGAAGGAAATGGTGATGTCTTAATCCTGTTTCTATAGTCTAGACAGTGATTATCAACTGTTGTTGGAGTCTTTGTATTATGGGAAATACCTTTTATTTATAATTTTAAAAATACAGTTTGAATATAAGCTTCAGAGAATACCTCCTATAGCCTTTAAGAATATCATAACATTAGATTATGAGTGTTATAAGATATAGATTTTTTTGTATGGTGACTTGGGCATGGTATAACTGCCACTGTAATGATTTAAAGGGTTGATTA